CATTGGGTTTGATCTTCAGCACCACACAAAAACAAACAAATAAATAAAGGTATTGTGTCCACCTACAACTAAAATAAAAATAAAAAGAAACCATCTCCATAAGGGCTCAAATTTGGATAGGTAGCTGATCAAAAGAAACATCAATAAAAATTTAGCACTCAGGCTAAGAAACCACTTTTCGCTGTAACCTTTGAAACAGGTGAGGAGTCTCTGTTTAGCTCCTCCAGAGATCAATAGTCACTCCCAGGGTTCCTTTCTGCCTCATTATCATTCTAATTTGCCTTAGCTGAATTCATCTCAGGTATTAGGGTCTTTTTTTCCCTCCTCTAATAAACAGTCTTCAATTGAGGGAAAATGAATAATACCAGCTTATTTTAGTGAAAAGGAACAGAGAAAATTGGAATACTGGAAAGCCAAATCTTGCTGAGTTTGTCCTACTTAGCAATACATCTGTGTCTCACTGAGGCCCTGGGACCCTTCTAGGAAAAACCAGATGTGAGGCAAAAATGAGCCATAGGAAAGAGGCTCTGTTGAAATAACAGGAAGCATACTGAGTAGATCCATTTTGGCAACTATATTCTAAAGAAAAAGGAAGGTCAGAGAAACTGAGAGGGTGTCAGATTGATCAGGGAAGACAACTAGAAATGACACTTGATGTGACAATTCACAAAACTGGTGCTGCTTGACTCAGCATGTGCCCCACTGGTCCCTTTGAAAAGCCTCAGAAAGGCTTTCAAAAGAACAATTTATGCTGGCTGTAGAAAATCTGGGAATCATAAGAATGTTAGCTTTTTCTATGTATTAAACATTAAAAAATTTTGTAAATACTGGGCATACTATTTTAAGCTGTTTTTAAGTTAACACGGTGTTTCTCCTAATAATCAAATTTTCTCTAAGACATAATTTGTAGTGCCTATTAGCATTTTATAACATAAGAATTTCATTAAAACAGCCCCTTTTTGTTAGACAATGTTGTTGTTCCTAGGTTTGCATCCAAATTTCAGATAGAGGTAGAAGTGCCTGATAAAGAAGTTACCATCTATTTAAAAGAAGAAAAAAAAAAATCAAGCCAGGCATGGTAGCTGAGGTAGGATTATAAATTCAAGGCCAGCCTGGGCAATTTAATGAGAACCCATCTCCCCCTGCCAAAAAGAAAAAATGAATATTTATTATTTTTGCTGGGAGTTGAACCCAGTGGGGATTGAACCCAGGGCAAGTGCTCTAACACAGAGCTACATCCACAGCCAAATTTTATTCTTTCTTTAAAAAAAGGATTTTAAAAGATTTTCAATGTAAGAAAGAAATCAGAGACACAGGAAAGCCCAAATAAAATAAACATCAATTGTAATTTTGGTTATTCATGTTTTGGTATATACAGTGTTCCAGTTTTTGAAAAACATGTGAACATTCTATACAAAAGTAGTTGGATTTTCTCAAATATCATGAGGATCTGTGTGGTGGTGCAGCTGTAACCCGTGTAACCAGGAGTCTGAGGCAGGAGGATCACAAGTTCAAGGCCATCCTGGAGAATTTAGCAAGGTACTGTCTCAAAAAATAAAAAGGGCTGGAGATATAGGTCAGTGGTAAAGTACCTCTGGATTTGACCTCTAGTTCCCTCTGCTCCCAAATATATATGTAAGTGTTTGCCTATACTACCTGTTCTTCTAAAAGATGCCTTGCAATAGCTGGATTTCCATCTTGGTTATGGCACATCCAGCCGGCTCCAGGGGCACTTGTGCAGCCGAGGAGTAGTGCTGCAGGATCATTTGTTGAAAGGCTACATGAGGGCTGGGGTACAGCTCAGTGGTAGGCTGATGGCCCAGCCCAGGACGCAAGACACCCTGGGTTCCAACCCTAGCATTGAAGAAAATCAAAGCTACATGAATCTAATCAGCCAACTCTCCTGCTGCTGGATATTAAGCTTATTTCAAATTTTCATTATTATAAGCTCTTACACAAAAATTATTCTGGATGGCTGATTACTTTTGTGGACCCAATTCTAGAAGTAAAATTTATTGGACTAAAGGGCACATATTTACAAACCATTAGGATGGCCACATAATTTATCATCAAACCATTTCTAAGAAGAGCACATAATCCAGGACTGCCCTTTCCAAAAGGTGATGTAGAGTTACATGTTCCAGGATGCCACACTGCCCAACAGGCCATAGCTATTTTTCTTTTTTAGTTGTAGATGGACATAATACCTTTATTTATTTTTATATGTGGTGTTGAGGATGGAACCCAGCGCCTCACACATGCTAAGTGAGCACTACACCACTGAGCCACAACCCCAGCCCCTATTTTGTTCTTATCAAGGGGAGTATTATGGTACCAGTTTTTCCAGGCCTAACATTTTTTGTTGTACTTGGGATTGAACCCAGGGTGCTCTACCCTTATTTTTTATGAGATAGGATCTCACTAAATTCCCCAACATACCCTTGACTTTTGCGATCCTGCCTCAGCCTCCCAAGTAGCTGGAATTGCACGCCTGTGCCACTGGACCCAATAGTGACTCCACCCTTTATACATCTGTTCATCCTAAATTCTATTGAATAGCCACACCAGAATCTTTATATATTCTTTTGATATAAAACATTAATTAAAAAAATCTTAATAAAAAAGAAAAATTTTCCCTTGATCCTTTCCTTAATTTCAGGGTTCTTTCTGCAGGCTGACCTTTCCTGGCTTTGTAGCTTTGTAGGGTCTCTATTGCAACCACTCAGCCCCATCCTTATAACACAAAAGTACCCACAGATTAGTATAAATCAATCAGAGTGACTGGGTTCCAATAAAATTTTAGTTATGGACTGAAAATTTAAACTTCATATAATTTTTATGTTTCACAAAGTATTATTCTTTTGACATCAGCCCCCTCCCCACTCCAGCCCCTTAGAAATGTAAAAAGTTTTCTTATCCTGTGGGCAGTACAACAAAAACTGGAGGTAGGTCATAATTTGCTGACATCTAACTTAGGAAGTAAATGGTTGACAATTAAAACCTAGTGGGATCTCCTCATGTAAATGTAGAGTTTTTCCTTTTCCACGAATTACATAATTTATTGCATATGGTCAAAGACCAAGTAGGATTGCATTCATATACCTTCAATTATATGTGCTTAACAAAAATAGGGAGGGAGGGGAAGAGAGCAAGGACAGGAGAAGAAACACTGTAGCAATTCTCACCATGCCACACAATGAGCACATTCCCAGGGGAGCATGGGATGAGAGGCAGGCATCTGCTCCCTTGGCTGGCCTCAGTTGCTTTTCATAGCATGAACACTTCATGGAATGAGTCTACTACTTTGGATTTGTGTGTGTGTGTTGCTGGGATTGAACCCAGAGCCTTATGCATGGGAGGTAAGCACTCTACCAACTGAGCTATATTCCCAGCACTATTTTGGATTTTTTGGGGCACAACATGGTTCCTAAGCACAAGCCAAAGCCCTTTTCTGATAATCAGCTGAAGCAGCAGCAACTGGTTTTAGCATTAAGGGTGAACTCTGTTGGATTTACTAAATGGCAGTATGTTGGTTTCAGGTGGGTCATATTTAAAGTACCTCGTGGGGCCAGCTGTGATGGTGTACTTCTGTAATCCTCATTATTTGCGTGGCTGAGACAGGAGGATCACAGGTTCAAGGCCAGCCTTAGCAACTTATTGAGGCCCTAAGCAATTTAGCAGGACACTGTCTTAAAAAAAAAAAAAAGCCTGTCAGTATAGCTCAGTGGTAGAGGTGCCCTGGGTTCAATCTCTAGTACCACCCCCTACCAAACAACCACAACAAAAGAGACGGACAGAGGAGAAATGCAAATTCCACATGACACATCAAAAACACTAGGCATCAAAGTGGCTTCTGGCCCACTGCCACACAAACATACTGAATTAGGATATCTCTAGAGCCCAAGTAGTAATAAGACAACAATGTTACATCATGTTTCTAGAAAAGAGCATTGAATTCCCTGTTCATTACCAAAATTCCCCCTAGGAAGATGGCAGTAAATATTTCTCCATTTTATGAGTGAAAAAATAGAGGTCCAGAGAAATGTAAAGTACTTGCTGCAGGTACAGTGTGCAGAGCTGGTGGGGGTACAAAGATGAAGACTTGATGCTTCATGCATTTTCTTAGCAGGTTATGGACTACCATCAGACATGAGAGTAGTGACTGGACTATCAAGTGTCTCTCCTGTGAGACAGCCACAGAGAATACTTAGGGCAGAGCAGGGTGGTGTAGGGCAGAAACAGCCAGAGGGCTTCACAGCTGAACAATACAGCAAATAAAAAGAGGAAAAACCCAATCCCAGATAGACTAACCCTCAAAGACAGATACAGATCTTTAATTTAAAACCAAGTGAGTTTATTCATGGAGAAAACAGTAACAGAACACCTTCGGGACATTTTTAGTTCAATAATTAAAACTGCATTAAAAAGCCAACGGGAGAGTTTGGAGACAGAAAGGATGTGGAGAAACTACTGTTCCCCTTTTGTTTGGTTTACATATATTTGTCTTCTAGGCAAAATTGATGGCTACGATTAATTTCTTTTCTAGGGGACAATACAGTTCTATGGTCATCCATACATGCAATTCCTCTGTGAGAGCCAGTGAAGATGGCAGAAGAGATCAAAGACTTCAGTGATGACTGGGGCAGTGTTGCTATATTTTCCAGGAGTAAAATCTGAGGTATTTAGATTCCACAGATCTGTAAACTTACTTCCACCTCCCTCAAGGTAACGGCAGAAGCTGAGAATGCTGTGCGGACCATTATACCTCTTTTGTATCCACACACATCACTGCTGACATCTCACTAGGATTAGACTGTGTCTGAGCAAAGTGAAGGCAGTTTACTCTTCAAGATGGCTTTCAAGGCAACAGTGTGATTATGATGAGTCCTTCCCTGTCTGTTTTTGTTTGTCCTGGTGCTAGAGTCCGTGGTAATATAAGACCTGTCTCCATGTCTCAGCTGTTAGGGTGCAACCTGGCCCGTTTTACTTGGCTATTCTGGTCATCCAGATGGCAGGAACCTTCTATGGTGATGTCTCTTTTTTTCTCCTCCACGGGTTCCAAAGGGAAGTCCTGGTCTGTGGCTAATACCTGTTGGTGTTAACATGACTATGTTAACATGAGCAGTTTTCAAGTAGCTGGCACATACCTGCCAGTCCTCCACAGAACAGGGCTCTACCAGTGAATCTCTGGGGAGGACACCTGGGAGAGGTGTCTCCAGGCAGTGAGGTAGGCCTTCTCCCTCAGGATGTGGAAGAACTCGAGGGACTGCATGGTTCAACAGGCGGCTGAAACCTGACATCACCATAATGTCACCACTGTGCATAAACATGGCTGTGGGGGCCTCATCTCTTTTGAGGCCACCTAGAAGAAAGATGGCAGACTGTCCAAAGCTACAAAAAAATAAGTAAAAATAGGAAGTTTTTTCTGTTATTAACTATCATTGTCAAAGTTATTGCCAACTTCATCATTTGCAATTCAGTTTAATCTTCCTCTTTTGGAAATAAAATTTGATGAAGTAAATAAGCAAGTGAAGAACTGAGTTTTAACATTATCCATATAAAGTTTTATTGATGTATCTTTTAAGACTTCAGTCTTTCAAAATTGCATTCTTTACTCTGTGTATCATTCCTTCATTATAAAGATAAGGCATTAATAAAAGGCACTTTTTTTTTCTTTTTTTTTTAATTAGTTGCTCATGACAATACAATGATCTTGACATATCATACATTTGATTCAAATGGGGGTATGAATTCTCATTATAAAAGGCACTTTCTTTGTTGAGATACTGGCATTGTACTCAAGACCAATGTTATGTTTAGGGAGACCAGAGTAAACACTCAGGCTTTTGGATTTTGCTCTACTATTCTAAAAAAGCTGCTCACTTCGCTTTATGATCTTCTACCTATTTCTTCCACAGAACACAGAGGATATCTTTCATTATAAAAGGCATACTCCATGCAACTTAAAGAGAAAAAGTAACTGTTATGTGGGCGTTGCTCATAGAAGACTAATTTTACTTTATGATACATTGTTAAGATGCCCAGAAATGAAAGATTATAGAATCCAGCCATTCAAAGAAAGTTTAATGTCTTTATTTTAGCTTAATTCTTTAAAGAAAATAATGAAATGATAAAAGTAACTCAAAATCTTTGGAACCAGCTTACCTAAATGACAACAGGGGTTTGGAGTGATCTAGTTCAGATCTGTCTACATGGATTCCTAATGTGGAATCTAAGCGGTAGTAATTCAGGATACCGGCTTCAGCTTGGAAACCCTGAAATCCACAGGCAGCGGCTACTTGCTCTGAGAGGAAAGCCAGGTCAGAAGGGAAAGGTGTGTAATGATCTGCTGAGTATTTCTTTGGTAAAAGTAGAGAAAATAAGAAAAATAAACAATGATCTCAGGAATAGTAAACTGTGGCATAAGATTAATTACTACTTTAAAATCCTCTAATTTCCAAAGTAGTATCAGCCAGCATTATCTACCTGTCCAGAGGGATCCAATAATCAAATAATAAATCACTCAAAAAACTGAACACCTATTTTAGAGCAGACAGCATGCTATGCAGTTGCAAAGGACACAGACTCACAGTGCATGGAGTCTATACATGAAGTGATTATTACACCACTCTCCAGTATACTTTAATGTTAAGCAGGACAGTTCTTTTAGGATAAAAAGTCAACTCAAAATGTCACTGTCAAGGGCTGGGGTTGTGGCTCAGTGGTAGAGCACTCCTCTAGCACGTGGGAGGCCCTGGGTTCAATCCCCAGCACCACATAAAAATAAATAAATAAAATAGAGGTATTGTGTCCAACTACAATTAAAATATAAATTTTTAAAAAAAGTGTCACTGTCAAGAGATGCCTAAGTAAATATGATAATTAAATGTAATACAGTAACCTGGATGAGATTCTAGAACAGAAAAAGGATGTTTGTTAAAAATTAAGAAACTCTGAATTAAATTATAATTTAATTACAATTTACACTATTGGTTAATTAATTTATTTCTAGTTTTTTGTTTTCTCTTTCTTTTGTGGTGACTGGAATCAAATTCAGAACCTTGCACATGCTAGGGAAGTGTTCTACCACTGAGCTACATTCCCAGCCAAAATACCACAAAAATACCACACTAATGAAAGACGTTAACAGATGGTGGAACTAGATATGGCACCTTGCTGTATTATCTTCTTAACTTTTCTGTACATCTAAAACTATCCTAAAAATTTAAAAAAAAATTTTTTAAAAGGCAACTTAAATATTATAAGCTACCTTGCAACAAGGCTTTGTGCCAATTTCAGTGGTCAATCTGATGAGATGACATGCTCAAAACATCTGACTCATATCATGGTCAAGGTAGAACCTTAAAATGGAACAAGTACTTTCTCAGCACTTATCTCTCCAAATTGCTTCTGTTTTTAGCACCTAAGGATTACAAATACCTTCTGTCTCTAGCACACATAAAAATGAACACCACCACAAAAAACAAAGGGCAGAAAGCCTTTCTAAAAGATCTTCCTGCCTACAATTCATAAGAATAACAAGGCTATGGTTTCATTAGGTTTCCTGTGTGACGAGGTTGAGGGCTCTCTGGGCTGTGCATGCCTGCAGCAGCCCAACACAGCCTTTCCCTTCTGGATGCTCCTCTATTCCCACCTCTTCCATTGCCAAATCAACCTCAAATGTGATCAGAAAATCCACTTTTGTCTCACAAATCCACTAGTTTCCTGATATATTCTAGCTGGAGCAATAGTCCTGGCTCTGGATAGAAGGGATTTACTTTGGCCAGAAATGCACTTTAACTTCAGGTACAAGGAAAACTTCTGTGAAATCTTTGGTTAGAACTTGTTTTTAATTTTCTCTTCTTCTATTGAACTGCAAATAAGAAAAGCTCCTATTTAATTCTTAAAACTAAAGGTATAGTTACAGAACATTAAAGTTTCCTTGTGTCAATTTAAGTTTTATTCCTTTAGAAGATCAACTAGTTAGGCCTCCTGTTGTAGCTCTAGATAGCCTCTGCTATGGTTAAAATAATTACCTTTCAGGCTTTCCAACCTGTCCAAACTGTCTATGGATTACACACTTACTCTTTCTCTTTTTGTCAATCATACTTAATTCTCTCTTTTTAACTAAAAATACTATATTTTGTCAAGTCCCACCCCCTAAACTTTCACTTTTTTAAAAACTTTTGATTTCTCATTCAGAGTTGTTGATAATTTTTCACTTTCCATTATTCTTAGTAAACAAGGTTAAACTTGAGGTCCTTGGGAATAATAATATATCTAAAATATTTAAAACAAGAGCTGCCAGGAGCAGTGGTAAATGGCTGTAATCCCAGCAATTTGGGAGGCTGAGAGTAGGATTCTAAGTTCAAGGACAGTCTGGACAGTTTAGCAAGGCCCTGTTTAAAAAAACAAAAAATGCTATTTCCTTTTGTGTTAATATATCTAACTGTCTAGAATAGTCAGGCACTATGGTAATCATTTTACAGGTATTACTCACAAACAGGATTTAAACACCAACTGTCTAACACAAAGACCATCATATGGCCATTTTCCTGAATACAAACATCTAGTTTCATACTGAATCTGTGTCACTGAAAGAAAGAATTATATTACACATACTTTTAAAAAGTAACATTACATGAACCAGTTAATAAACTTATTAATAAGCTGGGTTAACTAAAACAACAGAGTTTTTAGAAAGTAATTGGTTAGGCAGAGAATATGGTCTATACCAATATGTTTTACTCCGCCTCCACTTACTTTTTTTTTTTTTTTGCAGTGTGGGGGATGGAATACAGGGCTTCACGCATGCTAGGCAAATGCTCTACCACTGATCTCTACCCCATTCCTCAGTTTAATCTTAGAATTCTTTTACTTGGTGGTAAACATTGAGACACGAGACACTGTGTTACTAGTGAGAAATGATATGTCTTCTGAAGCACAGAGGACAGAAAAGAAATTGTAGCTCAATAAAACATGGAATTTTCTTAACTATAGGAAATTCTTTCCCACCTCTCTCCTGGCCAGACATTTATCTGGCATCTCCTGGCAAGCAAAGGTATCTTGGAAGTTCTTTTGACTGATGGAAGAAAACACTGTTAAGTATAGAGAACTTTTTTGGTAAACTCCAGGCACATATCGTGTAGAAAATAAATGCTCAACAAACTTCAAACAATAATGAATATAAAGATAACTGAGAACTGCTTTTGGAAACAGTAAAAGAAATCTATATCCTGAAGCAGACTCTGAGACAGGACTGATGACTTTTGATGCAAAATATGATCTGAGGGCTTATGCAGACAAAATTTTCTCTTGATAAATTATTCATTTCTTCTGAGATAACTGAAGGGCGATTTTTAAGGAGGGCATAAATAAAGAGACCCTACAAAAATAACCTTATGAATAACTTATGCTCTAGATAGTCCCTGGGTGATACTTTAAGCTTGACTAGGAAGAAATCCAACTATTCAGGCTCAAGAAGCACATAAATGGGGGCTGGGGTTGTGGCTCAGCGGAAGAGTGCTCGCCTAGCGCGTGCAAGGCCTTGGGTTCGATCCTCAGCACCATATAAAAAATAAATAAGTAAATAAAGGTATTATGTCAACCACAACTGAAAAATATTAAAAAAAAAGAAGAAAAAAAGAAGCACATAAATGGAGAATGAAAAAATTTGAATACCTTACTGTCCCAGTTATAATGGTAGCCTAGGGTTACCCAGCGCAATTTCTCTAGTAGACTTCGGGGTCTCCGTTTATTCACTTCTTTATACCTGCAAAAATTGGCAACAATAGAGAATTTGTCCATCTCAAATATCAGCAACAGCCCTCTGTATGAACCCTGGAGTCTAAATTTAGTATTCCACGGTTTAAGCTGTTAAACAAGGTTGGTGAAGAAAATGAAAACATATAAATGAGTTGACCAAGAATACAATAACAGTAAAAAACATATTAGCCTTTCCAATTTCTACTCTTTAGTTCTAAATCCTCTGCCGAATGGCATCAACTTTAAATGACAAATTTTCTAGCATCTCGGTAATGATAAAGCAAGAAAACAAAACAAAATGATAACAGGAATGTCTTTACTTGTTAATGATACTGAAAGCACTAACAATGTACAATTAAAAAAAAAAAAAAACTGGTTTAACATGACTTACTTAACCCTGTACAATATAGCTTAGATAATTGAGGCTCAACTAACAATTAAGGCACCATTGAAACTGATTTGGTTTCTGCCCATCCATTATTCAAACCAAAGGAGGTGTCAGTAAAACAGAGGTACCCTTCCTGTAATTATGTTTTATCTGAAGAAATAAATCTATGATATTAACTACTCTTTTTCTAAAGAGGAAGCTTATTTGGTTCATCTCCAAAAATCTAAAATTTCAAGGTCTAATCATTTTATATAGTTAATTATAATTTTCATCACTAATCAATCTTGGAAAAAAAAAAAAAAGCTGGGCATCACAGATCACAAGTTTGAGGCCAGCCTCAGCAACTTAGTGAGGCCTTAGGCAACTCAGTGAAACCCTGTCTCAAAATGAAAAAAAAAAAAAAAAGGGTCAGGGATGTGGCTCAGTGGTTAAGACTGGACCCAATCCCTAGTACCAAAAAAGATGAGACTCCTTTAAGGGATTTACATTCTGACAGGAAATTAACATATAAAATGGAAAGTTTAGGTAGAAATAAAGGGAAAGTTAAAGGCAACAGAAAGTCTAGCTAAACTGAATAGCAGAGACTTCAAAGGGTATGAGAACTAAGAAAAAGCTATAAGTGCAAAGCCAGCTTAAGGTTTTGAGATATGCTGGATAGTTGCACATAGTGACAAAGAATGGCCAGCATTTAAACAGGGAGAGACACAGTAGGCAACATGGGCACAAAAGTGCAAAAGTGAAGGATCCAATGGAGGCCCATACAGTAAGTGGTGCTCACTTATCTTGATGTCTAGCAAGGAGTTCAGGGATTGATGCTATCTGTGCTCACAGAATTTACAATCTGGTCTAGGTTAACTGAATCATTGTAAGAAAGACTTTGAGGTTTACCTTATACAGGAAGACTACTAGTCCAAGGATGGAAAAGAAGTCAGAGCAGTCTTACTTTCAAAATTTTAAGCCCAGTCCAAATAACAAAAAGAAAAGAATAACTTAAAAGCTTCCTGAGTGCAAGAAAGTGATCTTTAATTTTTCCATTTTGAAGGTAATAATACATATATTTTGTGCAATATATTAGGATTGAGGTAGGTTCAATTCATTTCATATCCTTTTCTGAGAACTTGATTTCAATTCTTACCTTTGTATTTTCTGGAAAGAAAGTAGCCAACAATTGTTAACATTTGCCCTCATCATATGAGAGCAGAATTGGCCAGCATAATACATTTCTTGTCTTAGCACTACAGTATTACTTAGGAACCCATCTTGTTTCCATGGGCCTCTTGGGTAACAAGGATTCCAAAAAATTCATTCTTGAATGTTGTGAACATTATGAGGCCAAACTTAACCCACATCCAGAATATTTTAAAGCATGAAACACTGAAGAATCACTGAAGGGCATAAATTGTTCTCCCTTAAAACCTGACTTGTCTAAGAGGAAACCAAGAAGGATCAGCATTAATGGAGCTTCCATTCAAGCCACCCTGAACAAAGTAGGAATATGGTGGCACCTTGACCTAATTTTAAATTTGTATCCAATTATCCAAAAGAATGTTTTCAAGAATGCAGACCCTAATTATTGGCTCTCATGGCAAACAGAAACATACTATGCTCCCTGACCTCACTATGTCCTCCGGGCACTAGGATGAGGAAGATAAATGGGTGGGCTGGTCACCTTCTCCCCCAGGGAATGTGTTCATATGGCAGTCTGTACAGTTTCTGTAATGACTAAGTGCCTTATGTAAGTGTTGACATTTTCTTCAGCAATCATGTTCTAAAGCACTGCTTCCAACTGAACCCTAACTGGGAGGAAATGAACTCTTGGCCTGCTTGTCTACTTTTTGTACAGTGGGTAAACCAGAGCCATAACTAAGCACTGCATTTTCTTTACTTTCTTGCTTGAATGGAACATTAGTTGAATCATTGGGAGAACAAAATTACTCAGGACAGAATAAAGTCTGAAGATTTATGATATGGGCTGGGGATTTAGCTCAGCTGGTAGAGTGCTTGACGTGCATGCACAGGCCCTGGGTTCAATCACTGGCACCACATACACAAAGACTTATGATAAAAATCTTCAAAATCCTACTACGGGTATTTGTTTTTTCAACTTTAGTGCTCCACCACTGAGTTACATCTCTAGACTTTTTTATTTTGAGAAAGAGTAGTACTGCTTAATAGTCCAGGCTGTCCTCAAACTTGAGATCCTCCTGCCTTATCCTCCTGAGTAGATGGGATTACTGTTGTGTGCCACCACACCGGGCTTTTTTCAATTATTTTTATGGTTTAAGAATTGTCTTTTACAACTCTGATTATTTTCCTCTAAGACCACAGCCTTCTTCTTTCCTTCCCTATTCTCTCATTTTTCATTGAACCTGATCTTCAATCTCCTAATCCTAGAGCCCCATTCTTTTCAATATTTGAGTCCTTCCAGTTTTTTGTCTCTTCTCAACTCGATATTGCCAATCATAAGGAGTAGACCTCTAATGCTACTTTAACTGCTAACATCCTTTGTTATGTTGTAAATATTTTATTTCATTCAACCTTCCAGCTTCTGTTTGAAGCCTTCACCATGCATCTCAATGCTTCAGTTTTGTTCTTACTCCCTCTTTTAGGTTAATGAGACAGAGGCCTAAATGATACAGTCCAATTTCAATTTTTCTCTCCTATACCTCTACATTTCTCTAAATTTTTATTCCATCCTTCCCTCCTGGTTTCAGAAGTGGTCGTATTTTCTTCCACCACGGCTAATTCTCTACCCATACTATATCCTTTCCCCCATACAAACTCTGGGGCCTTTCTTCATTAATAAATCTTTCTTCTCCTATTTTCAAGTCCTCCTCTGCACTTGTTTCTTCCTCTTACACTGTTTAACAATTCTGCATACTTAAGACAAAAGAACAAAAAATTTTTTTTCCAACTCTACCTCTCATTCAAGCCACCCTGCCCATAACCCAACCTCTCTGCCCCATATGTGTTTTTCCATTCACAATTAAACTCTAAAAAACCCTCAGAATTTGCCATCTTTACTCTCCCCTCACTACAGTCTGTTTTTTGCTTACATTACTTTACCAAAATTAGTTTCTTAGCTTCAATACCATCACCTAACTGTCAAATCCTAGGCCTACTTGACACGGCTGGCCTGTCTCTTCTTATTGAAAATATTTTCTTGTCTCCGCCTCTAACAGTGTTCTCTTCTATTTTCCTTCACATCCCTCTGGCTGCTCAGGGTCTTCTGCTCTACTTTCTATACCCAGCACTGATGCTGCCTAAGGCCAATGACCTTCTTTTCTCTCTTTTGGGGAATGAGAGAAAATCACATCTATTCTCACTACTTCATGGTGATTTTTGTGTGTAACTCTCATCTCATCTCTGACTTTGCTCCCAAGTTCAGCTCCTTATTCCCAGGGCATGCTGTATATCCCCACTTGGATATAACACAGGCATTTCAAAATTAATATGCCCCAAACTACACTCAGGATAATCTGCTCATTCTTCTCTTCTGTCAATCCTCATTTCCACTCAAAGCCTCCATATTATCCTCATTGCCAATTAGAAATCTGTGGATAATGCTTTCTTCTTTTCTTTCATTTTTCATAATCTTTTGATAACCAACTCTACTGACAATGACTTTTCTTTATCATTTTTTCATGAACTATTAAATTCTTAATTTGCCTTTTACAGCCACTGTTTTCAGACTATTTTCTCTAGTGTCTTAAGAATCAGATTGCTAGAGTGAAAAGTCTTGGTACTGATCTGGATAAATGCCTACTCTTCACAAGACAAAGTCTACATACAATCAATTTTTTTAAATTAGAAATATTTAATACAATATTTAAGTATTTTTTTCTTTTTTTACATTTAAAAAAATTATTCTAATTTGTTATACATAATGGCAGAATGCAATTCATAAGCACAATTTTTCAAGACACCGTACACAAAGTATTTTCACACTATTCATGTCTTATACATGTACTTAGGGTAATGATGTCTAATTCGTTCCACCATCATTCCTACCCTCTTGCCCCCTCCTTTCCTCCCCCTCCCCTTTGCCCTGGCTAAAGTTCCTACATTCCCCCCATGCTCCTCCGCCAATTGCCATTATGAGTCAGCATCCTCATAATAAAGAAAATATTCGGCCTTTGGTTTTTTGGAATTGGCTTGCTTCATTTAGCATTATATTCTCCAACTTAATCCATTTACCTGCAAATGCCATGATTTTATTCTCTTTTAATGCTGAGTAACGTTCCATTGTGTATATATGCCGAAGTTTCCCTACCCATTCATCTACTGGGGGTATCTAGGTTGGTTCCATAATTGAGCTACTGAATTGTGCTGCTATAAACATTGATATGGTTGTGTCCCTGTAGTATGGTGATTTTAAGCCCTTTGGGTAATCTGAGGAGTGGGATAGTTGGGTCAAATGGTGGCTCAATTCCAAGTTTTTTAAGGAATCTCCATACTGCTTTCTAGAGTGACTGCACCAATTTGCAGTTCCACCAGCAATGTATGAGTGTGCCCTTTCCCCGACACCCTAATCAACACTTATTGTTGTTTGACAACCCACTTATAATCTGGTTCTAACTAACCTTTCTAGTTCATTGCCAAGCATTTCCCACAAGTCC